GCTGATTCAGCTCTTCATGTATCTGCCCTTTCCCTTGACCATTTAAAGTGTTTGAAATGGGTACACTGGAGACTTTGGGGTCAGTTCTCCACTCTTTCTTCTCTGTCTCTTTTGCCAAATCATTCTCTAGGCCTCGTGCCTCCACATTAGCAGATCTACTCAGAAGCTCCACGCTAGAAGCTGGCACAGCCTGGAAAACACTTCTAGAAGAGTTAGGCTTTCTGCTCGGCTGAACCAAACTTGCAGAGCTCATCTGCTCCCCACGAATAGCAGAACCTGAAGAGACTCGTGGTGGGGGCACAGGTACCATTTGTGGCAAAGAGGGGATACGTGGAAGAGCAGCAGAACGCCCAGAAGCAGGCAGAACTACAGTGTTACTGCCCTTCTCTACACAGAGGACTGCTGAGGGGACAGCAGCTGGCAATGCTGAGTCCTCACTGTGCACTGCAGAAGAGTGTTTGGAATGGGACTGCACTGTTAAGCTGTGAGAAGATTTGCTGGAATCTGCATCTGCTGAACTGGGAACTGGTTCTAGAGCGGGTTCAGAAATCAGAGACATAGTGGAACTAGTCTGCAAAAAGGAGACAGAAGGAATAAGGAGAGAAAAAATTAAAGACAGATGTCAGGAGAAGGAAAAAAGCAAAGAATTAAGCATTATAGCAATCATGCCCTCCAAATCCAAGAGCCATGTTGATCCAAAGCCTTACTTCCCACAGTAAGGAACGAAAATAGGATACAGAGATCAGAGCCAGTATGACATTGTGCTGATCTTCACATGAGATTACAAAAGACCAAGTTCTCCAGCCATCCAGATCCTTTTCATGTGCCCTGCAAGTGACAGCTCATGTGCTCACCTGCAGCTGTGATGGAGGCACAAAGCAGCTGCTGGAAAGCCAGCTACAAAGCCAGGAATGTCTAAACATTAGTAACCTACTCATACCAGACGTACATTTTACACTTCAAAGCTGAAAAAAAAGCAATCAATGAACAGAACAAAGAATGACATTTTCTTCTCAATACACTAATAAAACACTCCAGCTGGCTGAGTACATGGCAATGAAAACAAAGCTTCAGGGCATTCACAGCAAGAACAGATGACATGGGCTTTGTTCTATCCACATGACTAATCTCACCTTGGACTGACACATACTGAACCCATGAGTCTGTCAGTCACTCCATGCCCTTGTAAGCATTGCTTAGGTGGCTAGATTAGCCTCTTTGCCTCAGGCTAAAGACTCCACATTTGCATGGTAATGAAATCAGTATTAATTTTGATCCAAAGTACACTAACAAGAGCAACTGATACAGAATTCTTGGTTCTCCTTGACTTACAGGGCCTTTTGAAAACAAAAGGTTAGAGGTCCCCCTTCCCCGTTTTCAGTGGTTCCTGGCTGAGCTCTAGGTAACAAACTGACATTAATCCTTCTTGAAAGGGAAAAACCAGAACAGTGGCTTGGACAAGTTTGTGCAGCAGGTCAACCTAATAGCAATGCTGAGCCCTCCCAGTTTCAAAAACATATCCACAAAGGATTTCCAAATCCAAGAGCCATCAAGACCTGCTCTGATTCTTAGTCACATTTGCCAAAGAAGCCTCAGGAAGTTAAAAGCTCATTCTCTAAGGCAGCAGGGCATGTAACTTCCTAAGCCCATGTGTGGTATCTCAGTCTTTAGTTACCTTTCTGGGATACTTATCATGAATAAAAGGATAAAATTAATGCTTAAAACCTGCTAGTAGATGGAAGAGATGCATGCCTTCAGCTGACCTAAGCAGCCAGCACCTTGAGGGGTCAGAAGGTGGCACACACACATTTGGGAAGTCACAGCAGTAACTCTACAGGGACATTGCACTCAGAAAGGAAAAAGCATTAGGAGCCCACAATTCACCAAAGACTGATCCTCCTCTCTGGCAGCAAGTTCACAGTCATAGCAGAGACAAAAACTACTAAGTACACTCAGTAGTCAAAATGAGGGAATTTCCCAATATTGCCCTCTCCCTGTATTCTGCCTAGACTGAACTCACTTGTAAAAGTAACCTGGATTTATCTACAGTTCACATTTTGTTTCCAGACTTCCTAAAATGAAGGCCATCTTTTCCAAGGCCAGACTACCATTTTGCTCAAGTATTTCCAGCACATGAAGAACATCCTAGCTCCAAAATAAGAGCACTCAACAGTAACACTCAACAGTAAGAGAACAGTTAAATACCATCATCTAGCTATGCAGCAAGCAGGCATCATGTTACACAGAAAAGGCAGAGGTTGAAAAACCAAGTGCATTAAGTAATCTCAGTGCCAATTGACTGATGAGCAAGATAACCCAAATCAAATAATTTCATAAGCAAAAATAATAAGCAACTCATTAATGCAAGTAAAATATGATAAAGCGGTAATGTATCAGTCTGGAATAGCACTTTTTCCTCTGGGGTACAAGGGAAATTAAACATCAGTGCCTTCACTTCTCCCATCCCCATCTACTGCAACTTCCAGCTGTACCACCTACCAACTCCACTAGTTACACATCATATGTAGTTTTTCCATCCTACTCCTTGCAACCACACACAGGTCTAGCACTGAACAACAGCCTTTCACCTTCCACCTTTGCAAAGACTCCACTTCTCCCACATCCTGCCACTAGTACAGACTAAAACCTATTTTTACAGCCATGCTAACACCATGAGTTGGCACAGAGAAGGTAAAACCAAACAAGGATTGAGGGAAACAATGAAGCAACCTGGAGGACAGGCAAAAGGAAAGTAACTCTTAAAACCAAAAGGACAATTCATGATCACAGAAACCATGTTCTTCGTGCTTCAGGAGGAACATGTAGACACTGATGAGTTCAATGCCTCCCAAAAATACTAATGCTCTGTTTATAAAGCCCGCATCTTACAGTCTTGCTGCATTTCAGTTTGCACTCAGAGCTCAACCAGAAACTAAGCCAGGCAAGTGGACAGTATTACAGAAAGCAGCTCATCTGTCATGCAGATTTTCCTAGAGTTGCAGAAAGATACTCAGGCCTTTTCTCAAGGCTGCAAAGTATCAGAACACCCACACTTAGACATGCGCCCTCCTTGCATCTTGCAAGGAAAACCTGTGCTGGGCAAGGTCATTCTCAGCTGCTCACCTAGGAGCAAAGGCTGGTGGCAGCAACCACTCCCCAGGCTTTTTTTTTTTTTCCCAGGGCCCTGATAAAAGCAGTGGGGCCCAAGGCCACAGGACTCGAAGGTCCCACAGCACATGGAAGGAGCAAGGCAGCATTTGCCAGCAGCCACAGTTGTCCTCCACCTTCACAGCAGTTTTTGAACCAGATACTTTTGGATATCCTGCACTCTACTCTAGGACCTAATATGGAGTAAAAAAAAAGCAACACTAAGGTGTCAATATTTGCAATTGACTAAATACACACTACAGTCAGCTTAGAGAAAACAGTGAGTAACTCTGGATTCTCACAAAATGAAGTACATGTGCCAGAAGTGGCAGACTGAGTTCAATTCCAGTAAGTGCAAGAGAAGTGAAGTCCCACAGAGTGTGCATGCTCACTGCTGGGTTCTGAACTCTCCAGCTCCAGGAGTTGTAGTGACCTCCACAAAACCCTCAGCCCACATCAAAAGTGCTCCCACAAATGGTGGCACAGAGAGCACAGCAAACAGCAGAGCTGTCACTGAATGTCATGTCTACCTCTCCTCACAAAACACCCCATAGCTCTGACTGTCCCACCCAAAGGCATGGAAGGAGATGGAATTCAGCACAGACAAGAAACACCAGCAGCATCAGAATCCTCCATATGACTTAAAAACAAAGAATTAGGAACTTCCTTAGGATTAGAAAGCAGCCTTGCATGTGTATGGAAGAAAGGCAAACTCTACAAGGACAACAAAGGGAATACATTAGATATTTGTTTTCTCCACATCTCTCAGGACGAATTCAAGCTAGTAATTCAGTAAATCTATATATAAGCAAAGCAGTTGAAAGTAGAAAGTAAGAAAACATTTTTTATTTTGCTATGATCATGGATATATGAAATCTCATTAAAATAAGCTCCACAGTTAATCATCTAGTGCAAGAATGATAACATAACTATATGAGTAAAGAAAGTACATATGCCACATGCTTTGTCTACCTAGATTGCCATGGGCAAGTTACTCCTGAGCTTATCCTATTATGGGATTTTAACGTGCTAATTGTGACTGAAGTAGCAGTTCTCTTCCAATACAATAGTTTAATTTCCAAACAAGATTCTGGGTAAAAACACACTCCAAAGAGGAGGATCATCCCACAAAACAGAAGAGCCTGGTCTCTGTTGGTAAGCAGACTGGTGTCCCATGCTCCCCTATTTCTGAAACTGTAGCATAATAAATAATTCACCCTGCAGTGAGCAGTAACTAAGCTCATTACTTTTGGCAAACAGACAAACTGCAGGACCAAAGGAAGAACAGACCCCAGAAATGCCTTCCCCTGCCAGTGATGAAGATTTATAGCAGTTGAGAACACCTCCAGCAGCACTCAGAAAGCACAAATACCACCACAGGGTCTGAGGGGTAAAGATGGCATTCTAGAGACCAAAAAAAGGCAGCAGATGTGGCTGATAGAGTCTGAGGGTGGGGAGGTACAAGTATGAAGTCAACATGATAAGGTACCTTAAAGTCAGAGAGAGATGCCATCAGCTCATCCAGTTCTCGTGTGGCTGAAGAAGCTGATATCCGGGTCTGCTGCTGGCTGGCGGTGACGCGCTGGGGGCTGCTCACCTCCCCCTGGCTCACAGTGATTGCAGGGCTGGCCAGGAAAGAAAAAGAAGAAAGAAGCATGTTTAAGCCTAGGAGAACACTCCAAGCCTGAGTGTTCTAGTGGTCCCCAAAGGAAGCACAGCATGATGAGCTTCAGCAGCTCTGCCCACCCTGCCCAGCCCTCTCCCAGACACAGCTTCCACACCAGATGCAGATCCTGCCTCTCTGCCAAGTCTAACATAAGGGTGAGCACACACACACACACACACACACACACAGCCATTAGGAAATGGACCATGACCAAACATCCACTTTGCCAGACAGTGGTTATTTCAGATCAGCCATCAATCTGAGTTTGAACGATGAACCTCCCCTAACATGACTTACGTAAATTTTCTTCCAGGCATAGCTAAAAGAGCACCAGCTTCTTCAGTCCTGCTTGGTGTCTGACCCTTCAGACAAACCCCATCACTGCCTGTCCCTCTCCTGCAGCATCTGCCCCTATGTGACAGACACTATTCCCACCAGAGCCTGTCCCACCCCACCCAAGGCAGCAACCACCAAAACACTACTCACACTGGGCTTGGCACTGAGCTCTCCAGCTCATCCAGCAGGCTCTCCACGCTGGGACGCACATCCTCGATCCCACGTGCGCCATTTCTCTTTGGCTTCTCTTTGGTGGGGGGTGCAGCCTTCCCTCCCACAGAGCTGCTGCTCTCAGGGACAACATAGTGAGGTCCAGTCACACTGGGCAGTGATGGGCTTCTGCTGGCTTCATCTTTAGAAAGGAGAAGCAGAAAAGAGTCAGTCAGACCCCTAGGACCACACGTACATCACAGACACAAACAACAAATTGCCCAGAAACCTTGTGGAACATCCATCTTTGAGGATATTCAGAACTTAATGCACAAGGGCCTGAGAAACCTCATCTAATTTCAAAACTTTAATTAGAACCAATTTTGAAGTTGGCCCTCCTTTGAGCAAGGTGCTGCACTACAGGCCTCAAGAGATCCCATCTGTACCAAACGAATTTTTGATCAGGGGCTGAAGGGATCTCTCTGAATAGGATACTGGAAGGAGTAAGTCAGCTACTGTTTTGAGAATCAAACTATGCAGTCACACCAAATGTCTTTCTATTCCTTACCTGCTGGGAAGCCACTGGCAGGATTATGTTGAACAGCATTCAGTTCCAGAAGAAGTCTGTCCAGTTCTGAGAGGTTGCTGCCCAGAGAGGAGCTGGTCATTGTGGGAGATGGTTCTGCAGACTTCTGCTTGTTGGGGAAACTAAAGATAAAAGGGAAATGTGAAACTTCTAGCTCAAGATATAGCAGAAAAACACTTGGAAACTTGTATTAGGTTCACAAAGTTGACACATTTATTGTATTATTTTTGAGTTGATGCTTTTAGCTCTGGGAGAAAGATGATGTGTGCTTTGTGTATTATTTTTGAGTTGATGCTTTTAGCTCTGGAAGAAAGATGATGTGTGCTTTGTGAAATGATTACAATGCAGGCACTGCTCAGACACATCTTCAGTTGTCAGGTAAAAGAATTAGCACTAATGGACAGGGTTTAGCCCTGCAACAAAGAGTTAACTGTCTGCAGATCCAAGATGCACAGAACAGCAGCAGAACCATTAGCTGGCATACAGGAAAATTACTTGTTTCTGCTGACATCACCTCAAGCAGCAAAAGCCTCCCCCCTGAAGTGAAGATGCAGGGCCAGCACAGCCGGGAGAAAGAAGCAAAGTACAAACCTCAAGCTGTCAACAAAAAGTCTAAAGCAGCAGGTTATGTGATAGCCTCCTGTAGCACTCAAAGGTCCCTTTTCAAGTCCTCAAACCTTTCATTTGGGGAACTCTAATCAATTTATAATAAATGAATTTTAAACTATTTTCTACTGATTTAAATACACAAGCCTTGAAAGAACTTCATAAAAGCACAAATGTGTATAAAACCCCGGGTGTAACAATTCCTTATCCTATATGGGTGATCCCATTTACCACACACAACTGCAAATTTTCAAAACAAAACCTAGCACCAATGCAGTGACACTGTAATAACATTGTCCCATTGTCAATGGCAGGGAAATTCTTTTATCGTAGTTTTACAAAAGGAAAAATAACTTCTAATGCCTCAGATATTCTTATTTTATAAAAAATGATACTTTCCAAGTCCAAAATGGAAACTTAATCTTGAGCACACTCCCATCTTATACTCAGAAAGTTATTATGTAACAGGCTTTAGGACTCTGACACCTATAACACCCCTGAGAATTCTGAATTCCCTAAGGCCAGTTATTATCTTTCTCTAGACTGAAGAAAAAAAATCCATCTGCAATCTGAGGAGGGCATACTTCATCCCTACTCAAGAACACAAGCTACTCACACCAGAACCAAGCCATGCCAGACTCTTGTACAGGAGGACTTATGGCTGCAATTACTTCCATTTTGCACTAATTCCACGCAGCCATCTGAAAAAATTGCCATTTCTGCCTTCACTGGGCCATCCCTAGATATGTCTACCTCTACCCAGAACTAGTTTTGGTTGAAAGCAAATTCCAGCTCAGCAGAAAGTGCCAGGCATGGCTAGAACTCCACTCTCCACACTGTAAGAAGGTGCCCAGGACAGAGTGCAGGCCCATCAGAGACGGAGTTTGACAACCTCTTTCTCACTCATCCTCATGTCAGCAGAACATACAAGCTACTCCTCCAGCCTCTCAGTGTAAGGGCAGCTTACTTTGCCAGTATAAACTAGTTATCTATCTATCATCTACTGAGATCGAAGTTTAAAGTTCTAATTAAAATTCAAGTCAATGCACATCCTGCTAGGCCACAGGTAACTGAGTTCCCTGGATAACTGACCCAAAGGTCACCTACCTCCCTAATGACTTTAGGGCTGCTTAACAAGGAGCTGGATTTGTCACTTGTCTCTGGATTGTATCGTTCACAACAAAATCCAGATCCTGTTCTGTCTGATGGATCCTTAACCTCTGCTGCAGCTGAGCAAACTAAAGGGCCAGGTCAAATGTTTGAAGTGAGCATGAAAGTTACGGTGGCCTCTGACAAAAGAGGTAATCAGAACCAACACAGGGCAACATAACATACACAGGGAAGAGCG